TATTGCAATTTGAGTACTGTCTTAGTCCACTTCAGTTTCCATAGTTTCACTCTAAGTACATATTACTGGAAGGTTCCTTCTCCTGGGCTTCTCCATGCCCATATACGTCTTGGGTGTTATTGAAACCAGTCGGTGTTGGCTACTACCTGTGCACTATTGGGACCCATTTTTCCCCGCGTTTGTAACGGATTCCTAGTCCGAATTTGCCAACTATGCACCATCCCTCCTTTTGCCTACTTTGGCATTCAAGCCTTCCATGACAATTACAATTTCTTGAGATTTACATTGAGCCTTGGCGTTTTCTAGACTACAGTAAATCTTTTCAATACACAACTATGATGGCTATGCTGAAAGGCTTTCCTTTCATTTTAACAACAAGAATTATTTCAGATAATTGACAGTATCCCCGACCCTCATTTTTCATGTCTTGGTCTAGTATCAATTCTATTCCCCTTTCATTTTTTTTCTCTCCGTCTGTGTTTATGATCCTGTGTTTGTCACTGATAAAATCTCCAGTTTTCCAGCCGGGCTTCGCTCACGCCTAAAATATTGGTATTTAACTCGTTCATTTCCTATTTTATATTTTGTAACTGTCTATAGTGGTTTAATGCCATGTCCAGAGAATTATATTTTTTTATTGAAATAGTTTTCCAATATCTGAGTAGTACTTATTAACAAAATATTTTGTATTTCCAGTGAAGATTATTATTATTATTATTATTATTATTATTATTATTATTATTATTTCCTTTGATTTCTTGTGTTTACACATTTCTTTCTGGGTCCCGCTCAGAGGCCTAAGGTTAGAAATGGCATTATGACATTTTCCACAGACCAATTTAAAAAAAATCTATTGTTGATGAACACAGATTTCTTTTTGATGAACAATCTTGCAATTTTCTTCTTGATGAGAATGTTTTTTGTCCTGTTAGTTCTCTTATTTTTATACATATTTATTTATGATACTCATTTGTTCCCTTTCTTCACATTTATTATTGTTGAGGGGTTCTCCCCTTTTTACACAAATGGACTCACCCAGTATATACATATACTACGGCTACGTAAAGACCCGAGAGAGCAAGACCAAAGAGTCGAGTCCAGAGTGAGAGAGTAAAAGGTTGTAGGTAACCGGAAGAGTGAGGGTGAGGTAACAGCGTTGTAGGAGTCAAAATGAGCGAGCACGTAGACTCAGTAAGAAGTCATACAGCGATACTTCAATACCAAAGACTGTATATATATTTTGCTACTAACCCGTATTCCTGGAACGACTAACCTGCTTTACCAGTTTGTATTATTACGTTAATACATTATTTTCATATATTCATTCTTGGCGTTTGTTATTTATTGGTACCGGATTTCAACCCGGAATCCACAACAACTTGGCGACGAGAATATCGAACTCACACGGGAAGAACAAAAAAGACAAAATTCTCCCTCGTCAACTTGGCGACGAGGACTTCAAACTCACACGGAAAAAGAAAAAAATTCTCTCTTGTCGACCACAACTTTGGCGACGAGGAAATTCGAACTCACACAGGAAGAGTACAAAGAAAAATTCTCCCTTGGTGTCGAGAAATTGGGACCTACACGGAAAGAAACAAATTCTCTCATCTCACCACAACAGCTTGGGCGACAAGAATTTGCATTTCTCGGAGACTCAAAAGAGAAAATTGCCGTTTTGCCAGTATCCACAACTGGGTAACAAAGTGTTACGAGGATTAAAATACGGAAAATCGAGATTTTTCGTAAGACTCTTACCATTGAGAATTTTAAAAGTATTTCAGTAGAACTTGTTAAACATCAAAATGAACAGCAATTACAATTCCAAGAAAGAATAGAAAAATATTACTACAAACGCAGAAGTAAAATCATGAAAGACAAATGCAAAATGAAGAAAGACAATGACAACTCCAGTAGCTAATTGTAAAAGTAGCGAGTAATACACAACAACAAAATATTGAAAAAGAGGCGACTTTTTCCCAAGACGCAGTATGGAACATGATAGAAACATTCAAATACTCCCTAGAAGAGGATAAAAATTTCGGGGACTTTTTCAGACGTCATGAAGACATCTTCAACATCGATTGTCAAAACTGGACGGAAGCAAAAAAGTTACGACTATTACTCAGAAAATTAGGAACGGAAGAATACACAAAATTCGTGGATTACATTTTGCCAAAGAAGACAAATGATTTAACGTTTAATGAAGCAGTTACATGCCTGACGGAGCTTTTCAGCCCGAACACATCACTCTTTCACAAAAGGTGGAAATGTCTTAACCTCGTAAAGGATGAAAATGTGGACTATTCCACGTTCGCTGAAATCGTGAATAAACAATGCGACGATTTCAAGTTGGCAGAATTAACTCCAGACAATTTCAAGTGTCTTATTTTTGTACAAGGGTTAGTCTCAGCAAAGGATAGTGAAATGCGCAAAAGAATGCTTTCAAAACTGCAAAATGAACCTGGACTGCCACTACAAAAACTAACGGAAGACTGTCAAAAATGTCTGAGTATAAAGAAAGACTCGAAGGATATTGAGGAGTCAGGAGTATCACATATTCGTAAGTTAAACAAAAGTTCACGTTTTTCACCCTCCCCGGAAAGAAAACAAAAATTCTATAATAATGAAAAAAAGTACAACGTACAGGGAAAATAATGATGAAAATCAAAGTAAATATAACCCCCCCCCATCTACATGTTATCGATGTGGAGGACTACACTGGAATAAGGATTGTCCTTTTAAATATAAAAACTTGCGTGTGAAACAATGGGTCACAAGGCATCCCAATGTAGGAACAGAAAATCTACTAGTAGAATAAGAGCTACTAGAAAACATGACGAAGACAATACTAACATAAGGAAATATGTGGAACTTGAAATCTTAAATAAAAAGATAAAATTGCAACTAGATTCAGGGTCATCTGACGATAATTAACCTACAAACATGGAGAAAGCTTAATAGACCAACAATGTTACATACACAGAAAATTGCTAAGTCTGTTACAGGAAAGCTTATAAAATTCGAAGGGGAAGTAATCCTAAATGTAAAATTTCACGGGAAAACAAGAAAACTCAAAATATTCGTAATGAAAGATACAGAAAATCTGGTGGGCACAGACTGGATGCAGAAGTTCGACTTATGGGATTTACCTATCAGTACTTTTTGTAAAAAGATAAAGTGCGAATCATCAGAAGTTATAAAACTAAAGGAAGAATTACATAATCAATTTCCAGAAGTATTTTCGAGCAGGTTGGGTCGGTGTAACAAATTTACAGCTAGAATTGAATTAAAAGAAAACATCCAACCAGTATTTAAAAAGAAGAGAAACGTACCGTTTCCTACTATAGAAACATCGACAAAGAATTAAAGAGAGCTTTGAAAAAAATAATTAACAGACTAGGAAACGTGATGTACACAGTACAAGGCGAAAAGTTTACCCACAGAAGACATATTGATCAAATACAAAAAAAGACGGGTTGAAGAGCCAAGCTCGTCACTGCTGAAAAGGATGATTCGATTTGAAGCGTTTGAGATTCAAAGACCACAAGAAGAGACAGAAATTAGAAGGACTAGCAGGAAAAGAAAAATAACAGAGCCTCTGATTATCGATCATAAAAAGAAAAAGATATTAACTCCCCACAAAAAGGGATCTAAGGAGGGTGTGTTGAGGGGTTCTCCCCTTTTTACACAATTGGACTCACCCAGTATATACATATACTACGGCTACGTGAAGACCCGAGAGAGCAAGACCAAAGAGTCGAGTCCAGAGTGAGAGAGTAAAAGGTTGTAGGTAACCGGAAGAGTGAGGGTGAGGTAACAGCGTTGTAGGAGTCACAGTGAGCGAGCACGTAGACTCAGTAAGAAGTAATACAGCGATACTTCAATACCAAAGACTGTATATATATTTTGCTACTAACCCGTATTCCTGGAACGACTAACCTGCTTTACCAGTTTGTATTATTACGTTAATACATTATATCTAGCTGAGTCGTGATACAGTCTTTGACTGTAAGCGACGTCTGTCGAACTCTCTGCGTTAGCAGAGAGGAACCCGGACGAAGCTTTGCCGAAAGGCAAGGTTTCGTCCGGGGAGGTAGACAGGGCCTGAACCCGTCTAGGCGGGTTCAAAGGCTATATTTTTGGCCGAGCCTACGGGCTCGGAGATATCCACATTAAACCGGCCTTGTGCCACATTCAATCCTCGTGGGTGGATCGATAAATAGCGAGCAAGACCGAAGAGTCGAGTCGAGTCCAGAGTGACAGAGTAAAAGGTTGTAGGTAACCGGAAGAGTGAGGGTGAGGATAACAGCGTTGTAGGAGTCACAGTGAGCGAGCACGTAGACTCAGTAAGAAGTCATACAGCGATACTTCAACACCAAAGACTGTATATATATTTTGCTACTAACACGTATTCCTGGAACTAGTAACCTGCTTTACCAGTTTGTATTATTACGTTAATACATTATTTTCATATATTCATTCCTGGCGTTTGTTATTTATTGGTACCGGATTTCATCTCGGAATCCACAACAATTATTATTATTATTATTATTATTATTATTATTATTACGTTGAGTCTGCATTTTGTTTTACGAGTTGCCTCCAAGTCTTAACCTGAAAACTTAAGAGACGACAAGTCAACAGATCATGATCGTTTTTACAGTTGATTGGATATGGAGCTGACACTCTCAAGATCAATTTTCTTAACTGTATGATGTCATTGAAATATATATAGTAGTTTAAGCCATCATTAAAATGTATATGTCTATGCACAGATAAAAAATTATGTATTAGCACTACATAAATTTTTACACAAGTGTAAACAGATTAAATAGAGTTTCTGATAAACTAAAATTGTCTTATTATTAGTAGTAATAGTAATATTAGTATTAGTATAAGTAGTAGTGTTGTTGTTGCTGCTCATATTGCTATTATTATTATTTTTAGTTTGTTTTACTGGGTTTTTTTTAAGTCTTTTCACCTATGGGAAATGAGGCTTACGGCCATATCACGTTGAAACATCGTTTCCCGAACGATCACCGTTGTTAAACAACATCGAGACTGATCAGTACCTAGATGGGGGATCACTTGGGAATACCAGGTGCTGTAAGCTTGAATGTGCGGCTAGTATAACAATAATGGCTCGGAATTATTAATCGGAGAGTTGAGTTTATTATATTCACCTACGCGCATGGTCAAAGTTATGAATCCACTTCTTCTCCCCAAGTTATGGTTTAAATAGAAATGAAAGCATTATTATCTAAATAAATTTTTACAATCTAAAAATATATTCTGACTTTAAATAACATGCAAAATGTTTATAAGCTGTAGAAAACTAATCAATCAAAAAGAGAAATTAATGTTTTTCTTAGGATCACATTAACATATTGGATTGAAAATTTATTTCGTAACACTGTACAGGTTGGTCCGAAAATCTTGTCACCCCATATAATATAATTTTCTATTTCAGATGGCTGACACAAAAAATAATTGCGTTCATATTGACCTTATTGATGCGTGACAATGTCAATGAATTTGTATAAACTGAATCTAGTACATGTGCTTTGTCATAATTGTTCTTTTATTGTTATCATTACATTTTGTATTTTAAGGAAATGGAAACAGCAAAGTTGTAAGCTTACACAACTTCATTATAATCTTATCTCATCCATTTTACTCATTTTTTTTCTTTTAACAGGAATTGGTTGAGGTTGACCATCATTTGACATCATTTGTTGACTGTCCATGCTCATTATTTGGATGAACCGTGCCAATAATGTATCTTTCAAACCATCGTACGGTTCGCCATTTGGTAAACCGTGTGATAGCCGATGCTTATGTTTTCCTTATTTCCATTAATAATTATAATATCTTTTATTATATAGTTTTTTTACCAGACGTGTTTTATTTCGTGACACCATACAATTCAACTATTGTTAATACAATTTATCATATATTTGATGGAAAATAAAATAATATAAAATAGTTTATTGTTATGAGTAAAAACATATTTGAAATATAAACATTTTATAAACATTACAACTTATATTTAGGTTGCATCTGTTAGAAAAATAATGATAATGTAAGCTAGAATAAAATGGTTCATAATGTTTATAAATTGGGCACATCCACCTGGTTTAATGGTTAACAAGCTTGTCTTGCTAGAACAATTATGACGGATTAATGAGTTCGATCCTCACAGGGTGCTCTAAAATTTTGGCCTTGTGCCACATCTAAGCAACGTTTAGAAAAAAATTTGGGCACTTCGAAGTGGTGTAATGGTTAGTAAGCTTGTTTCGCTAAATCAATTACGACTAAGTAGTGAGTTCGATCCTCACTGGATACGCCATACTTTTGGCCTCGTGCCGCATGTAAGCTACAATATTTAGCTGTCCCCCTACGAGGGGTCGCATGTGGCACAAGGCCGAGTTTTACGTGGTCACCCGAGCCCGTAGGCCCGGCCAAAAATATAGCCTTCGACTCCCCTAGGCGAGTTCGAGAGCTGTCATAACCTCCCCAAACGAAACTTTGCCCTTCAGCAAAGCTTCGTCCGGGTTCCTCTCTGCTAATGCAGAGAGTTTGACAGACGGCAATTGCTGTAACTTAATACAGCTACATGTAAGCCGCATGTAAGCTACACTTACAAAAACGCCATAATATTTATAAATTAATTTATCAATTTAAATTATTTAAAATATCTATAAGACTTATACTTTATATTTAAGCTTCATCCGTTAAAATAAAAAAATAAAAGTTGCTATTATTATTATAAATTAATTCAATTTTCAGTCGTAGTTCGTATTTTACACAACAGAAGACAGAATTTATAATAATAATATCTATTGCAGTCTGTTCATATCGTTGTCATTCTCTCTCTCTCTCTCTCTCTCTCTCTATATATATATATATATATATATATATATATATATATGCACATTCACACAACCCGACATATATATATGTGTGTGCGTATTTGGGGTTGTGTCTCTCTGTGTGCGAGAGATAAACAGTCTGTTGCTTTCCTTGCATAGGTCTCTTCATTTCTGTATCTATATGTATTGATATCCGTAGACGTCTTCGTTTAACTTTAGTATATTAGTCACGAGAGAACATATTTACTGTGTGAGTTTAAATAACTATTGTTCTTTTTCTTTTTTCTCTCAGAATCTTCTTCATCTTTTAATTCCTCTTCTACGGTCCCCACCTACGCCACCCTGCATTTCTTTCGAAAATATTATTTCCTCTTTCATATTTCAATCATTTTCTTTTGCATCCATTTTCGGCCGTATCATAAAATGAATTTTTGTCACAGATTTTGATGCATGAAGAACTGGCAGAGAGAGGTTGTTTTTTTTTGTCCACTTCCTTCATAAGACTTAAACTTTCTTCATCTGCGCCTTTTTCTCTTTTTTGTCACTTCCTACCGCCCTAAACTTCATCTTACTTCATGTTCTTTACTCAACATTTCTTGCCAGAATCGCACGATTCGAAGCATGTCTTTTCCTTCTGGTCGACGCCATTTTCCTTTTGCTTTATTTTTTTTCCCCTTTTTGTTCTACCCTCCTTATTCATCATGGATTTTTCGTATTTTTCTTTCTTCCAAGAAGAATGAGGAGATATTCAACATTTTGATTATGCCTCTGGTATCATGCTGTAAAACATGTGTTTTTATTAAACTTTTCTTTTCTGTTGTTTTTTTTTTCTTTTTTTAAATAAGCTATTCCTTTTTATTTTACTTTTTTCTAAATTTATTTCCTCTCTTTCCTCCTACCGTATACACGATGAAGTTGTAAAACTATTTTCCAATATCTTTATCAGCACGCCTACAGTTTGGAGGCGGCCTCACCTTGCGCATAACACTCAACCAAGGTTGTGTAGCCAAATTAGCCCCCTGCACTCTTCTGGCGTGAACTTAGACAATCTATGATACCGATAAAAAAAAAAGATCACAGAACTAGAATAAACTCAAGAAACAAACTTGGATTTTGCGTAAATAAAATAGTCATGAAAAATTCCGGGGCGAAATTATTACATGTGGTTGGTAGAAATGTAATTTATGCTTGTTTTTAAAATAAGTGGTTTCTCCGGAAGATGGCGAGAAACGAAGAACAAAAAAAAAAAAAAGAAATTCCAAACACATTGCACGCAGTTGACGTGAATTCCTTCCTATAAAAATAATATTAAATGAAAACGTGTGACGAGCTATCGTAGTCTTTGTTTATTAATCACTGCAACTTTTTGAGTATTACCAGCTTGGCAGCATAATGAAAACTTTTGTAAAAATTTTTCCTTACATGCATTTCCTACTGTTATGAAGGGTAACAAAGTTTTCGATGTTTTCATATAACTAATCATTTTCATTCAATGACGAAAACGTCTGTATCAAGTAAATGTATCCGACAAATCAATGTTATTTACCAGTTCGTTTTAATTATCAATCTAACACAATTTAAATAAAAACTAATATCTAGCTGTTTATCTATCTTTAACTGCTTTTGTTATTTTCCTTTCTCTCTCTTCTTTTTCCCTCTTTCTCTCCCCACTTTTCTTTCTTTTCCTCTTCATTCTTTCTTTTCCCATGAAGAGAATTGCTTTAACTGGACCTCTCTCTCTCTTTCTCTCTCTCTCTCTTTCTCACCCCCCCCCCAATTGTTTTCTCTCTTTCTGTCTTCATTCTTTCTTTTCACTAAAGGAGAATGACAACTATTTTTTCTTTCTCACTCTCTTTCTCTCTCTCTTTCTTTCTATTTCTTTTTCTTTTCTTTCACCTCATTGTTCTTTTTCTCGATGTTCTCTTTCTGACCCTAACCACTTTTCTCTTTCACTTTGCTCACCGTTTTTTCACATACTGAGAAGGGATTTAACTGACTTTTCACTCTACCCCGCACTCTCTCTCTCTCTCTCTCTCTCTCTCTATCTATCTATCTATCTATCTATCTATCTATCTCTCGCTGTACCTATCTTTCACTTCTTTTATTTCTCTCCTTTTCTGTCTCAATTATTTCTTTTCATATATTGAAAATAAATCTAAAAATTAATTAAAGCTTATTTCACTGTTAATTATTTAATAGACGATGGGAATAAACATCGAAATATCTCTTTGAACTAGTATTGAGAATTACCATGCTTCAGTCAAAAGACAAAAACAAATCTATAATGATTGCAGTGCATCAACCTTTCCATAAGGAGAGATCATGTCTACCTACATTAAAAATCAGCTTCCTAAATACGCATTTTTGCCTCAGCTAGAATACCAGCCTAAAACATCGGCGGAAAAAATAACTGTAATCAGAAGGACAGTAGGTAGCGACTGACATTGCATTTAAATTTTTGCTGATTAAAGTTGGTTTAAAAACATGGAGCCGGTAGGGAGTTCCACATGTAAATGTATCCGATAAATCTATGTTTTTAACCAGTCCGTGTGGCTGTGGTTTCGCTAGATAGTAGGTAGGGACAGTGGGAATCTCGTTGATCCGTTCATGCGCGTCACTAATTAGATGACGAGGCATTTGGCTACCTTAAGAGAGTCATAGTTACTCCCACCGAGAAAAGAAACTGTTAGCATAGAACTTACAGTTACATCTAGCCACCTCAACTGTAAATTGATGAGACCTCGTCGCCAGCCTAGCACTGCGCTTAAATTGAAGAAGTCCAGGTAACATAGCGAAGAGCTCATCCAAACGATTACCACGAAAGTATTTATAGAAAAGGTGCAGGGAGGTAACCTAATGGCGGTCGGAAAGAGACTGAAACCAAGACGACAAATCAGAGCCAGTAATATTGCTGATTCTTCTTTGGGTTTTATCAAGAAGCTCTAGTTAAATAGCAGGAGCACCGGACCGTATATGGCAACAATATTCTAAGCATGGACGAATGGTAAAGTTATAAATATATAAGATAGATTCTGGAGAGAAATATTGTCTAGCACGACACAGTGAACCAATTTTCTTACCAGTTAGCCTAGCAATAGTTTCAATATAGTCTTTCCTCTTCATGTCAGCTGAGAACATTAGCCCAAAAAGGCACAACGAGCCACCCTCATGGAGGTTAGCATCAGTCATGTTTATGAAAGGCAGAGAAGGGTTTCTCAGATGATTAATAGAGAGCAGTTTAGCTATGGAGACGTTAAAGTTAACAAGCCATCCTTTGTCCCATTTAACAACAAACTGAATGTCGTTTTGGATATCAGCTGCTATTTTGACCTGATCAGATTTACTATCGAGACAAGAGTATGTGGTTGTGTTATCAGCATAAATACTAAGTTCAGAGCTGGTGCTATCAGGAAGTTCATTAATGAAAATTAAAGACAAAGTAGGACCAAGAATAAAGCAAATTATTTTTCAACTTCTGTTTTTTCTATGCTTTCCATTTTCCTTTTTTTATATAAGTTAGTTTTAGGCTTTTATAGACGCTATCTTTTAGAGCTTTATTATAGAAATCAATATGTTCATAGAAAATCTTCTCATTTGTTGAATTTGTACTTATGTACAAATCTTTTTTCGATAGATAAGCATATATACTTAATTATAGACGGAGGATGATTAGATTTAGGGTGTATATATAACGGATTAGTATTGGATTTTTTTATAAAGTATGTATACATAATTTTGTATACACCCCCATACAACCAAATGGTAAAGAATAAATTAGGACAAAAATTCATTGCATTAATAGTTAAACATTTTCCTAAAATAGTAAACTCAGTACTATTTTCAATAGAAATACACTAAAATTAAGTTATAGCTGTGCTGAAAACTTAGAGAAAATTATTAAGAAACATAATGCTAATATCTTGAATAAACACTAAGACCAAAGCGAAAGAAATTTAGACAATATAAAAATAAAAAATGATGAAGATAAACAAAACTTATATAACTGTAGTAATCCTCATAACTCCCCTCTGCAAAATAAATGTCGCACGGAATCATTAGTATACCAATGCAATATCTCTTCTATTGAGAATCCCGAAAAATAAAAAAATCTAAATAGGTTGCACATGCCACGAGTTCAAAAAAGATTCAATCAACATCAAAGTTCATTTAGGATAAATAAATACCGCAATCAGACGTCCCTATCGAAATATTTCTGGGACTTAAAAGAAACCAATAAACTCCTACAGTAAAATGGAAATTAATAAGAAAAGCTAGAATACGTAGGTAATTAAATGACCCATCTCCTTTGTGCCTGCATGAAAAAATATATATTACTAAATTTACTGAATCAAAGAAATGAAATCGCTATTCATTACCAACATCGTCAAAAATGTTCCTTAAATAATATTCAAAAATAAAATAAAATAATGGGAGTTTGTAATGTACATACTTATATTTGATATGTAATAATAATTTTTAAATAATTTAATTCTATTACATTTATTTGTTTTAAAAAAGACATAGTCTATTAGTAATTAGAGTAAAAATAATATTTTAAAATTGTAATTAAATATAACGTATTCTAACCCAAACACCCCTTTTAGAAAGAATCTTTATGTGTACAAGTACGAATTTAACGGAAAAAAATGCCGAAAAACATTTTGTCGTTGACGGCATGCGTTGAACGGATGTCATAATTCGTTGAAAAATGCACCCCTACCTAGACTTAACCTCTTTTTCGAACGTAACTCATAATTGATACAATAATAGTTAATAAAAATGAACACGCTACCGCCCCTGTCTAAATGTCTGAATTGTATGTGTCTTTAAAACTCAGTAAACTTAAAAATAAATTATTCCAAAATTCGCTTGAAGATGAAACAGAACTAATGCTTTATATAATTAAATTTGAAGTTTTTAGCTTTGGTTTTTGAAACATGGTAATTCCTGTGTAGCGAAGGAACTATATTTTTAAATCAGTTAATTTATAATATTTATGCTCTGTAAATTTACATTTAGCACTGTTTTGTAAAAATAAAAATATCAATAAGAACATTGTATTATATATCTTACTGTTCTTTCTTTTTACTATATATATACATATGTGTGTGTGTGTGTGTGTGTGTGTGTGTGTGTGTGTGTTTCATTTTAGATGAATGGCAAGGTACTGCGATTAAGTTGCTATATTTTTCTTGTATGCGTACAAGAGAATTCTTTTTTGGATATAAAATGTGGGAGAATTGTCCTAATGACCTTTGTGTTCGAGTGCTTTCGGCTAATCTCTTATTATTTGGTTAATGCATTATCATTTAGACCGTTCTTATACACTCTATATCCCAAAAAGAAAAATATAATAATAAAAACGTATTCACATTACCTTATCAGTTATCTTCAATAAAACATAGGGATTACTGCTCAAAAACTCAATTATATATATATATATATATATATATATATATATATATATATATATATATATATATTACAAGTAGATAGAATTCAATATGAATCATAATGAAAACATTACAATTCATTTTTTTTTCTAACTCCTTGGTGTTAACAAGCACGTTCTGGGCGAAATAATCATATATAATGTGGGGTATTGAATTTTATCTACTTGAAATTCATATATGGTCTATAATAAATATGGTGATCTCTCTTCTGTGGATCAGTTTCAATATTTTATATTACTAGCATTCACTTGGATTTTTACCCATATATATATATATATATATATATATATATATATATATATTGCTTTAAATTTAGTAGAAAATTTCTCAGTTCCAGTAACAGTGTCTGTAGATCATTTGAGTGATTGATATGGATTATGTACAGCTTATCAACACTTTGTGGTTGATATATAAATTTATAAAATATAAAAAACCTGAATACACTTAAACCCATTTAACTTTAGTAAATTTCTTCAAGGAACGAAATGTGTCGGGAAAAACGTTTTTCCTGTGGTTATTTCTTTTGATGTATATATATATATATATATATATATATATATATATATATGTGTGTGTGTGTGTGTGTGTGTGTGTGTGTGTGTGTGTGTGTGCTTTGGACATACGCATCAGCAAAACTGACAGTTACCATTCAGCATTAATCCTAATGTCCACATTATTTATAACAATAATCTAACTGTCCCCGAATTTGAGCACTCTTCTAATAAATATGCCACATTTTTGCCACGAACACACAGAGATACACACAAATACGTACATATCTATCTATATATATATATATATATATATATATATGATAATATTAGCCGTTTCAATTATAAGGAAACATTCGGCATTGATTTACCGATCATTTAGATTTGCTGTCGACTGAAATCTAAAAAATTCTTATAAACATTTCTTTCAGGAAAATAGCTTTCTCAAATCCAGTCATTGTTAATGCTCTTTCCAGTATTGATGGCGGTTTCCTTGCTTACCTTTTGTTTGGATTAGAGTGGAAGTTCAGCATCTTCATTAGGTCATTATTCTCTCTGAGAGTTACATGTACTTCGCGTTTTAGGTTCTGCTGCTGTTGAAAGTGATGTAGTTTCTTGTATTTGGTCCACAAGTTTCGATAAAAGATGGTTCTCGCTGAGGCCTACAGGCATCACTCGCCTGAAGCCAATTTAACAATTGATCTGATAAAGCCGACAGTTTAAATATCGCTGAACAAGTTTGGCGCCATGCAGGACATCCATATGAATGCCTCGATCTAAAGAGGCTATTTAAGATCATGACTCAATTTTTTAATTTAATGTTTTGGTGCTATATCTTGCGGTGATGTGTGAAACTACCTCTACTCAGCCTATTCTATGTTCAATTTCCTTATCGCCTATAATAAAGATGTTGTATATATATATATATATAGATACAGATATAGATAGATAGATAGATGGCTTATTGTACATATATATATATATATATATATATATATATATATATATATATATATATATATATATGTTCATTGTAGATATAAACATTGCTGACATTGAAATCAATGCTACATCCTTTATTATCATATCAAGTAGATACAAATTACCATATCTTGTTCATTTCTATGTCTCATATCATAAATAACTGTATGTTTTGTGTGCGTGTCTATGTTTTTGTGTGCTTGTGTGTGAATGCGCGTGTTTGTGTGTGTGCTGCGTGTGCGTTTGTGTCTGTTTTTTATGTATGCGTGTATGACATGTGTACGTGCGTGTGTGTTTTTCTATGTGTGTGGATGTGTGTGTGTGCCTTTGTTTTTTATTACATGTGTGTGCATGTGTGTGTGTGCATGTGTGAGTGTGCCTGTGTGTTGGCACAAGCGTGTGCATGAGTGTGTGTGCATGTGTGTGTTTTCTGTTTTTGTACGTGCTTTGCGTATCTCTCTCTCTCTCTCTCTCTCTCTCTCTCTCTCTCTCTCTCTCTCTCTGTTTGTTTTTATGTGTTTACCTGTGCGTCTGTGTATGTTTTGCCTGTGTTTGTTTTTGCGTGTTCATTGTTGTGAGTTTTGCTTCTCAGTGTCTATGTATTCTGTCTTTGCTTTTTATTGGTGCGTGCGCCTGTGTGTAATCCCTGTGTGTGTGTTTGTGTGCATGTCTGTAATCTGTGTATATGCGTGCGCATACGTGTGTGTGTGTGTGCGCGCGTGCTAAATCCAGAGAAAGAACTACAGATATAGATATGATGTCAATATAAACAAACAATATGGCGTGGAGAAACCGAATGGATGTTATTGGAGTTGTCCGATAAATTCGTTCATTTATTCTCTTTATTTGAATTGATTATTCATCAATAATTTGAACAAATCAGTCAATAATCTGAACAGAAGTTGTAGGCTAGAATAGAGCTAGAAAAAGACTATAAAATACTACGGTAAAAATATTTTGTCTGTTAATTCAAATAACATTGGAAAAAAGTAGGAAATCTATCTGACAACACAATAGCCTCGGGAATATATATGGACTTTACCTGGTTGTTAAGGCTCTGCTCGTTAAATCGTCTACTAACTCGCGCTAACTAACCCATTGTCTGACTTGAAAATCTGCATTCGAAATCTCGTTTTCTTTATTATTTGCTCTTAAATACAAACTACTGATGGCAATGAAAAGTATGCAACTACTCAGAAAAAATATCATTTTTTCAAGATTTTTTTCTTCTGGCTCTAAAACTAAACTGCTCTCTATTAATAATCTTGACGAACGTTTTTTTTATCTTCCATAAAGCATGACTGATGCTAACCTGCAGAAGAGCAACTCATTACACTTTCTTAGTATCACGTTTTCCCTGACATAAACTGGAATGATTAAATCAAGTCAATTGATAAGCTTGCTGCAGTGTCGGGCGAGACAATTTTTCATGCCAGAATCTATCTTGCACATTCGACCGTGCATCGAATATTGCAACTTCTGGTCTGGTGATTGTGTTTTATATCTGGAGATTCTTGACAAAATCTAAAGAAGAATCTGCAACATTATTGGTTCTGACCTGGCATCTCAACTTCAGTCACTTTCGCACTCCCATAATAGTTTCCTCTTCCGCAATTCCCGCTTGATAGTGAATGCTGGACAATTTCCTCACAGATGAAGAGGAGACTTTAGGCAACTGAGATTTAGTTATATACAGAAGAATACTGAAAATACCATGAACAGAACATGTGAGCAATAAGGAAGTTTCAAGAAAAATAGGAACGAAATGAACAATCTTGCGTAGGATCAGAAAGTGACAGCTGAAATTTCTTGGTTACATAATGAGGAAAGGTGGCTTGGAAAATCTAACACTCGCAGATCATTTAAGGCAAGAAGAGCAGAGGGAATCAGCGAGTAAAATACCTAGCAAACTTGTGCATATAGATAGCAAAATATGAACCGGGTGGGATAGTAAGAGATTAGACATTGCTTAGTACTACGACGGGTAGGAAGTCGTAGAAAGCAATGATGACGGTTCATGTTCTGAAGGGACACGGCATATAATACTAAATACTTTGAAATTGACAATTCGTTTCTATTTCTTCATATCAGATTTATTATATATGAGCTTCTTCCTTTTAGGTATCTCCTTGCTTCCCTTCTTTTCCTTTTGCTTCTTTTCTTTCTATTTTTCTACACCTTTTTGCCTTTAATCTCTTTCTTTCTCTCTTTCTTTTTCTTCTTTATCTATCTTTCCTTTTTCTTGATAGGTTTTGCTTTTCTTCTCACCTCCAGATTCTTATTCTCCTTCTTTATTTTATTCTCCTTTTACTATTTTTTCTTACATTTTTAGTTCTCTATTTTCCTTTTTCTTTCTCGTTTTTTCTTCATCTCTCTTTTTTCTTTCCGTTGCTTCTTCTTCTTGCCTGTTTTCTCTCCCCCTTTATCTCATCATTTCTTCTTCTTCTCTGTTTTCTCTTCCCCTTTATCTCATCATTTCTTCTTCTTCTTCTTCTTCTTCTTCTTCTTCTTCTTCCCTGTTTTCTCTTCCCCTTTATCTCATCATTTCTTCTTCTTCTTCTTCTTCTTCTTCTTCTTCCCTGTTTTCTCTTCCCCTTTATCTCATCATTTTCTTCTTCTTCTTCTTCTTCTTCTTCTTCCCTGTTTTCTCTTCCCCTTTCTCTCATCATTTCTTCTTCTTCTAACATTTTTTGAGCCTTTTCTCAGCAAGTCCTATTTTTTCAATTTGTTTTTCATCCACCTTTGAAAATTGCTATTCCTCTCTTTCTTAATCGTTCGTCGTCGTCTTTTTCATATTATTCATTTTATTTTTAATTTTCCTTCATCTTGAAACCAACCCTGAGTTTAAAACCGAGATTGCAATTTACTGGTTGGCTGTAAAACAACAGAAAATGATTTGCGTCTTGTTCACTCACAGTGCACACTGTCACAGCATCACCAAAGTATTAAAAAAAAACAAAAGAGGGAAATAATCAGAGAACAACAAAAGAAGGAAAGATAGAAAACTAAAAAGCTTTGTGTAAGAGAGAGATGGAAATGGGCATGGGGGTGGTAAAGTAAGGAGAACATCATTAGAGCTAAAGAGGGAAAGGCAGAGGTCTCATTTTCAATTGTATTTATATAATTACTGACATGTTCGCTTGTAATGACGTTCTTCTCTATTTTATTGTTGGTTATTTATACGTGTATCTCATTTTTTCAAACTCTTTTCCATTTTCTCTGCTTCTTTCGGCTTATGTAAATTTCTTTCTCTCTCTCTCTCTCTCTCTCTCTCTCTCTTTCTGTTTCTCCCATTTACCTTCTCTTTTCTCTCTCCTTTCGTTTACTCCACTAATTTTTTGTCCCTTACTCCTGCTAATAACCTCTTAATTGTACTCTTTTTTTTCCTTCGCTTACTCTCGTTTTTTCTCGGTTACTTTTCTTCGTTATCTTTCTCTCTATCCTTTACTCACCCCCCCTCTCTCTCTCCCTTACTTTATCACTTTTTCTCTCTTGCTTGCTATTTTAATTTATCTCTTTCTCTTAATATGTTTATCCCTACCTTATTCTATTATTCTCTTTGTTCCTTAATCTCTCTCTCTCTCTTCTCCCTTTTTCTTTTTTATTTCCATTTGTTTATATCTCTTTTTCTTTTGCTACTTAGTCATTTTATTGCTATTTTTATAACCTTATTCTCTCTTTCTTTTCCTCTCTTGCTTTATCTCTTTTATTCTCCTCTTTAGTCTTTCGTTTTCTCTTTGTTTTCTTTTATTCTCACTCTCCTTTACTCATTTTCCCATTCACTCTATAAATCTCTCTTTCTCCGTTTTTTTTTTTTTTGTTTTTTTTTTCCTTTTAACCTTCAACAACGTAGTCGAGAGGGCGTTGGAAATATTGTTTCATTAGAGAGAGAAAAGAAAAACGAAAGGCAAAAATAAAATTACGGATATTATGAAAACGAGTGAGGGTGAAGAAATTGAAGTAATTGCAGGAGCGACAGTAATAGTGGTGTCGATGGCAATGGCATGGAGTCATTCGAAGCTGGCATCTCTCGAAAGAATAGAAGCCTGAATTGTTCAGTTCATAAACATTAGGGAGGAAGGTGTCGAATTGTGCAATCGATCAGTTCTACGAAGCCGCGCAGTCTCGTTCCTCTATTCTCGTTCTTAATGAGATCACATTGGCATTCTCTTGTGCCTTCTTATATGCTTAATTGACGTTTTAGAAAAGGTTTACATCAACATACGACAATTAAAGATTAATAGTGTGAAAGAAACTGAGAACGTACAGATAAAGAAAATAAAAAACCTGATAAAAATGCACAAAAATACATTATGAACATACCTCTCCTATACACCTATACACTCCCCTAACAGGCAACTATAAAATAACCATTTAAAAATTAAAAAGACAAGCTTTACTTAAAGTGGGGGTGTATAAGTAAGATTTTATGCTTTTTATTAATTTTTTTTTTTTTTTTTTTTTTTTTAAATGTGTGTCAGTGTCACGGGTTTATTATTTGTGAATATAAATAGTACGTCAAAACAAAGTTTTGTACTCGTGCCGGAAGATTTTATATCAAATTAATGAAAATGTGTTTCCGTTTTCAGTCTCTGCATATTGTGCGCAGGCGCAGAGCTCATCATAAAATAATAATGGGGCTTACATTTGGCAATTGTAGTTTTCGAAAAAAAAGGTTATCTTTCAACATATTTTCATTATCCCTTTAATGAAGGTGTTTTTTTTTATTATTTTAACTGCATAATAAATACACACACATATATTTGTGCGTGTATGTGTGTGTGTTTGTGTGTGTGTATTTACTATTCATTTAAAATTAAAAATATATTCATTAAAGGGATAATGATGATATGTAGAAAGATAGAGATTTTTACAAATTTACAGTTGCTAAAAGTAAGGTCTATTATTATTTTTATGATGAGTTTTGCACACAACATGTAGACACTGAAAGCGTAAACACTTTTTCATTAATCCGATATCAATGAATAATATATACATATTATGTCTATTTATTGTGATCCTTTCCAGTTCCCGAATCAGCCTCTTCGTGTTAAAAAAAAAATCACCAAGGAATATATCGTAGTTTTTTCCTACCCATGTACTTTCGATCCCCTCCTTTCGATCATCCTCTTTAGCGTTTCAAGATATTTTCGTGCAATTTTGTTAAATATATCTGTTAAAATGAGATGTCGTTGTTATTTTCTTTTTTTGCGTAATTTGTACGATAATTCATCCATCATACCCTGTATATAGATCCATATATATATATATATATATATATATATATATATATATATATATATATATATATATATATATATATATATGTGCACGTGTGTGTATTTGTGCTTGTGTGCATCATTAAAATGTCTGACAAGTTACTTTTGTTTTTTGTTGTATTTTTTGTATGCGAACAAGAAATTACATTTATTTGGCCCTAGTGGGTGAACAAAATGCTTAAATGGTTGCTATGACAAATGGTGCCTAAGGGCTACTGTAAACTGTATAAAAATTGCTGAAATTATGTCCCTATTCAGGAATATAATTCCAGAATACGTCCAAATTATGATCGGAATCAGGAATATAATTCTGGAAGATGACCATAATTTGTGGCCGTGTTCTTAGTTGTAATTTATTAAAGGCTGTTTCTTTTATGATAAGAGCTTCCATTATTTTTAAATGCTTTTTTGTTGCATTTAGTGGTGCGTCTCACATTTGTGTTTTCACTTGAGTAGCTTTGCCTATCGAGGTCGGTCCATTTACCTGGTATTTTAAATGGGCCCATATTTAGCAACTAAATTTTTAAAAATAGCACTAAGTTAATAAAAAAATCACCTTTTCGTTCACAAACAATACAATAAAAATCTTAGCAAAAAATCCTTCCTCAGTTTTTTTTTTTTAACGGAACATGAATTTGCTTCCCAGATAAACGGCAATATCTATATATATCTATATTTATGTATCTATATCAATATATATATATATATATATATATATATATATATATATATATATATATATATATATATGTGTGTGTGTGTGTGTGTGTGTGTGTGTGTGTGTGTGTGTGTGTGTGTGTAAAATCAGTAGCAAAGTTCAATTTTTTGGGTGTTACGAGTTTCGACATTAAGGACTTTATCGGACTAAGGAAATGTTTACCTTGATGTGACTACATGCACAGAAAGGAGAGGAACGTTGAAATTTTAAGCTTTTAAATTTATTTATTTGTTTTTAAATATATGTTTGGGTAGAGAGTCTAGGCAATTTCATTTACTTTGTTTTTCTTTTTGCTTATATTTTATATTTTGTATCTCATTCGTTATTAAGTATTCAACATGTAATAATCGAAGATCTTTCTACTTCCTCTTTGATTTTCTTTGTTCTGATATATAAAATTTAACTATCTTTTTCTTCCCTTTAAGATTAATACCTTCCACCCTCCCCCGACCACTGTCTCGTGCCTTTCGTCTGACTGAAAAATTGAAATGGATAAATTCTGTATTAGTTTTTCGAGGGTTTTTTTTTTTTTTTTTTCAGCTTTCACAGTTAAATCTCTAATTCTGACACGAACTCAGTCTATACCGGGGTTGAATAAGACTGACGAATTTCGTCGGTTGAAGTTGATTTTAGACTTTATTGTCTATTATATATACACCCACACACACACATATTCATATATATATATATATATATATATATATATATATATATATATACGAATATACATATGTACACACAATAATACATATATATATATATATATATATATATATATATATGAAGAAAAATATAGAAAAAACAAACAAAAATCTTAATATGCAATTATGCTGTATTAATGTTAATATAAAGTCAACGTCGGACGTTTCGGTCTATTTTAGACCACCATCAGGACATATTAATAAAACATAATTAGCATTAGAACATATAAAATTCAACATGAAAAGACGATGGACATAAGAGCACAACTAATCCAAACAGATAACTGAAATTTTTATATAAGATTTTATGAATATGTCCTGATGATGGTCTAAAATAGACCGAAACGTTCGACGTTGACTTTATGTTAACATTAATACAGCATAATTGCATATTAAGATTTTTGTTTGTTTTTTCTGTATATTTTTCTTCATACTGTCGTATCTATATCCATATATTTGCTTACACATATATATATATATATATATATATATATATAGAGAGAGAGAGAGAGAGAGAGATTCCGTTTTCTACGGTTTAAATTTGGAAATTAAAAAATAAGAATGCAGTGTGAAATGACTTTGAAATGTCGTTCATTGCATTCACTTGATGCGTTGCAGATATGTACCATAAAGAAACGTAGAGTGTCCGACTCTCACAAGGGAAGCGGCTATCTACTAGCTTTATACCAAACTAGTCTAAATAAAATAATTGCTTTTGGACTCCTAACTTGGAGCACGTAATGGTTATCATGCTTGTCATAAAGGCCAATTTGTCCATATTGTGGACAGAATAACAATGTGTGAATTGCAAACTGAACTCGATAAAAGAAATATTACTTAAAATAACATTAATAACTTTTTAAAAAATCAGTTAAGTAAATTAAAATTTCTATATGGTTAAATTTGGATGACTGCAACTGGTGGCCATCTTAGTCTAATCAATAAAGCAGATGTAGCGTAAAGAAAGGCTACTCGAAGGTAAGAAA